AGGCTGCAGTGGCCGGGAGCAGCCACTACACTCCAGTCTGGGCGACAGAGTGCGACTCCAACTCAAAAAATAAATAAATAAATTTTGCAAATATGGGAAATGCTCTTTTTGTTCTTTTATTGAATTTTTCTTATTTGGATTTGTAATTAATATTAGTCTTCTATTAAGAGCTGTTTTTGGTGGGGAGGGGTTTCTATGTTATTTACTTTTCCTACTTTCTGGGACAACTTGTGAAAATAAGGATGTGACAGTGTTTTGAAAGTTTAATGATTAATCTGTATTAATAATCTGAGTCGCCGGACTCGGTGGCTCAGCCTTTAATCCCACGCCTTTGGGAGGCTGAGGTGAGTGGATTACCTGAGCCCGCGGGTTCGAGACCCGCCTGGGCAGGCGAGACCTCATCTTTACAATAAATCAAAAAATTAGCCAGGCGTGGTAGCGCGCGCCTGTAATTCTGGCTACTCGGAAGGCTGAGGAGGAAGGATCGCCGGAGCCCAGCAGGTCGAGGCTGCGGTGGCCGGGAGTGGCCACTGCACTCCAGTCTGGGTGACAGAGTGAGACTCCAACTCAAAAAAAAAAAAAAAAAAAAAAATCTGAGTCTAGGGCTTTTTTAGAAGGAAATTATTTGATTTCTGTTTCAGAGATTTTAGTGCTTATTCTATTCAAGTTTTTTATTTATTTTTATGCCAATTTTGATGTTTTACCATTTTCTAGAAATGTGTCCATTTTACCTAGGTTTTAAAATTTATTAGCAAGTTGTGTAGCATAGTCTTTTGATTTTAATTCTGTTGTGAATATAGTTATTTCTCTCTTTTTCATTTTTGGTTTGTTTGCATATTTTATTTTCTTAGAGGTCTATGTATTATTTTAATATTTTCAGGGTTCCACCTTTTTTAGTCCTCCTTGGTTTTGTTATATTTTCCCTTTGTCACTGATTTCTGTCCGTAGTCTAATTGGTCTTTTTTTTTTTTTTTTTACATCTCTTTGAGTTCTGTAACTTTTTCTGATGCCAGGGAGAGAATGCTTAGCTCTTTTGTTTTTACTTCTCTTATTTTATAACAAATACTTTTAAAGCTAAAATTTTCCTATAAGCGTGTAGTACTTTTTGTTTATCTGACTAATTGTGTGTGATTTTCTTTTTAATCCGAGGTTAAGTTTTATGACATTTTGTTTCTAATCAAAAGGATTTAAAAAGCCATTCCTGGCTTTTAAGGCCTTTTTCTAGTTTTACTACATTTATTACTTCTTTTATGTACTTTGAATCTATACTGTTAACGGCAGATATGTTTGTGATATGTATGATCTTGCTTTATTATTCATTTTGCTTCCATGTAATATTATTCATTATGTCTTTTCATATATTTTTTACTTGAATTGTTTTGTGATATATAATTGCTAATCTAGATTTCTTTTTTTCAAATTTATCTGGTATATTTTCTTTGACTCTTCTATTTTCAACCTTCCTGCATACTTTTAAGTTTTTTTTTTTCTTTAAGTTGAAGTCTCACTATGTCTCTCACGCTAGAGTGCGGTGGCACACTCATCCACAGCCTCATCCACAGCCTCAATCTCCTAGGCTCAGGCGATCATTCTGCCTCAGCCTTCCAAGTAGCTGGAATTACAGGCATGCACCACCACATCCGGCTAATTTTTTTTCTTTTGTAAATTTTTGTAGAGATGAGGACTCACCATGTTGCCCAGGCTGGTCTTTGTACCCCTGGGCTCAGGTAATTCTATTGCCTCTGCTTCCCAAAGTGCTGGAATTATAGACATGAGCTACCACTCCCAGCCAAATATGTCTGTTGATGAGAACATAATATTGGATTTTTCCCTTCAGTCCAATTTGAGCATCTATCTTTCAATTAGTGTATCTAAGCTCTTTACATACATGTCAATTATCATTACACTAGGATTTCTTTCATTTTATTTGAGATTTGTTATGCTACTTGAGGTGATGTATATTCTTCTTATTGAGATCTTAATCTTATCAGCATACATTTTCCCCCCAGAAAGA